TTGTTTTGGGTCTCGTGATAACAGAATCTATAATGTTTTGAATGCATTTTCGCTACATTAGTTTTGAGTCTAGATTTAATCCAAGGTACTATGCAAATTTGTGTATGTTCCAATCTTTAGTCCAAGTGGAGTATATCCTGATATAAACGATGTTGAGTGCATATCGATAGTATAAATGTTGTAAAGCAACGGACTATAGAGACTTGCATATAGAGAATTGTGAACGAAATTCAAGTTTATGATTAAGAAGAGTTCAATTATCTTGGAGCGGCAGCCTGTCGGTACGACACATCGATAAAATTTCCAAGGGAGCAAAGAGCTTGAGCTGGGACGCATTAAGCTGCAATTCGGTGTTGAAGACGATACTCAACTACATCGCCCCCGGCATTGTGGAGGCGGTGATACCTCTTACTCCTTCTTCAACTATGCCCACGAGATTTGCTAGCGACAATTCATTTCGATGGCCAATTTAATCTGTGAAACGCAGTTATTTATGGAAACAAGGTTACGTATCTCATAAAATGATAGATCTTAGATTCAATAATAATCTAGATTGAATAATTATCAATGTCCAGCTGGTGTTGAAGCTTCATTATCAATCTAACTTGTTGACCGTTTGTACGTTGTACATTTGTACATCGCATTAACTCTACTTATGTCCCCATAAGAAAATCCAAAAATTTGGCCCATTCGATGGTTATATTTCGCTTTCTGGAAATAAAAGATTGTCAAATGACCGAATTATAATAATTCGGATCATATTAATTAAATATATTCTTATTATAATCAGTCTAGATTCTTCTCACCCTGGCCTTTATTGTCGTTTTATTATTTCGCGAAAAGGCTTTAGTTGAGTAGTGCGTAATGCTGTCGTAATCGTAGGGCAGTCCGAAATGCTCAGTATTGTTCCACTTTTGAAAGTTGACCTCCTGGCCAGGAATTATATTCTTGAAATTAATTTTCACATACTTATCTCGGTCTGAGCGGTTGTGCTCATGCAAAAATCCAATAGTATGCATTAGCTGATGCATCACTGGGCCCGGCGTAAGCAGGCATTCTTTCTGAAGATTGAGTTTCTGCATGCCGCCCCTGCGACCGAGAGAAGACCAACAGCCTGTGGGCTTTTTTTCAATAGAAATGTAATCCTTCTGGCCGCTACGCTTAATAAATTTGATGCATGTGTGTATGCGGAACGCCTTGATGGCAGCTTTGATGAAGTCCAATTCGTTTTCATTGAATTTAGGCCCGACCACATAGGGCACCACGCCCTTTGGCCAACGATAGCCTTTTTCAGGTATACCATATAGCTTCTGAATATCAGGCGGCTGTGCCCAGCTGAGTGTGTACGTGGAAACGAAGATGAAAATTAGTCCCTGCATAGCTCGCTGTCTACTCAAACTTTGTTTAAACCACATTGAACTCTAGAGGCTTTTATACCTAAATTGAGGCTAAATCTATCAGCTTTTACATGGTTATAATACTGCGGAACTAGCAAATATGACGCCTATTTAACTGTGACAATTTAAATTTTTAATATTTTATATAATCATGCGTATCATTTTTTTTTTTTTCTAATTTTTTGAAGTGACGGGTTGCACTGTATATAATAGTGTATATAGAACAATTATACCCCATATAAACCAATGAATCTGGGTCTAGATATAATGGTATTACAATTATGCTTGAAAAACATTATAAATTGTGTGTATTCGAGTATTCTAGGTAAATAATAATAAAAAAAAAATCAAAAATATGTTATTGTACACGTAAAATTTCAAATCACCAGCTCTTTTCTGAGATCTCGGCGTTTAAAGAACATACGGACAGGGCTATATCAACTCACCTTGTCGCCTTTATTAATAATTTGCCATGCCTATTTCTGCCCGAAGGGGATCTCGTAGTGGTGCAACCTAGAGCTTTATTACTTGTTATTTTTAATATTCAGCGACAAAATTCACAGGCGATTTAAAGCACACAAATTTCATTATATTTAAAATTCTTGCTAATTTATTTCTTATTTACTTTGATCAGGTAGAGATTCGTGATAAATAATTCTAGACTAATGTTGTATGTGGAATGCTTTAAATAGTTGGTCGGAGTTGGTGATAGTGAGAAGGGAGTGGATCTTTGGTCTAGCTGCTGGCTGCCGTGGCCTTTGCATCATGGTCGTCTCCAAGGCCCAGCCCGCTGATGAGGCCACTAAGGAAACTATCAACGATGGGATTGCTGCCGGGAGCTGCCCCTGGTGCTGCAGTGCCTGCACCGGGCACTGGCGCTGATCCACCCACGTACCCACAGTCGTACATGCGATTCAATTTCTCCACATCGAAGTCTGAAAACCCTTTGCGCTGACCCATTAGTGAAGAACCCTTCGATTGCTGTGCGTCAAAGTAAGCAGATTGGTTCACAGCTAGTTTAAACTCAAGGTACTCCATTCACTCACCATGGCGACTATAGTCGGCTGTCCGTTGGTAGAGAAGGCATTCGCTGAATAGTGCATAACGCTGCCATAATCGTATGGCACGCCGAAAGCTTCCGTTGAGGCGGCCTTCTCGAAGTTGCTCATGGCCGACGCTTGAATATTCCTGTATTGGATGGCCACATAGCTATCACGCTCCATGCGATTCTGTTCATGTAGGAAACCAAGGGCGTGCATCAGCTCGTGTATGGCTGTGCCGGGACGGCTAAGGCAACCAGGCGACTGGAGATTCACCTCTTGCTTGCCACCGACGCGACCCACAGATGACCAACAGCCCGAGCTGCCGCTCACAATGGAAATGTAATCACGCTCAGTGCTGCGGGGCACGAACCGAATGCAGGTCCTCTTGTGGTACTGATCGATGGCGCCTTGAATCGTAGCCATATCGTGCGCATTGAAGCTACCGCGTATTTCGTATGGCACAACGCCGTTGGGCCAGCGCGAGCTCTGTGTGGTTAAGCCGTTTTTCATGGAGACAGCAGTCTTTGGTATGAGAATGTCGCCTTCCAAATAACTGCCCAGCTCTTCGGGATTCACCATGTCCGTGTCGGCGCTGAAGTTACCAACCAAAGCGCCTGTGCGGTTTTGATCCGGCTCACCAAACAAGGCGCTACCATAAGAGCTCAGATCAATGGTGTCCTTACTAGGCGCCGGCGCCTCTTCAATACCGTTCTCGGGCAGCTCAATGACCTCGGTGTCATCAATGTCGTCGTCGAAGGCCAATGGCACAGCCTGTGCACAAGCCAAGCCCATAAGTAGAAACAAAGCTAATCGGGACATGTTAGATGGTTTGGATTGTTTAGTTCTCTTCGTTGCTGGTTAAAGTTTGACTGTGCTTCGGTCTGGAGAGAACTGGATATATATACTCAATTCTGTACCGCGTGCCCGACTTTATCAGTCGGCAACGAGCTTTTATACACATAAACATATTTTTTACCGGCAGACCTTCAGTCGTGCACTCGACAGAGTTGTTGTTGTTATCGTCATCGTCTTGGCTCGTCACACTCTTTTATTGGTGGGCAAATATTTAAATAACGCTCAGAGCCAACCGTATTTCTATATAATATTGTTTTTGTTTTTAGGGCGAAATGACTTTCATAAATCGTATCAGTAGTTTGTTTGCATACACAAAGTTTAACGACATTCTATTAATGTAGTTTTTTAGTTTCTCGCGCATAGCAATACCCGATAAGCAGTATCGTCTTGACCTCTATGCAAGATGGATTTATATGCTACAATTGCTTTATATAATGCCGCTGTGATTTAGACTGGAAATAACAACAGGCACGCTTAGGAATCACGTATTCATAAATAAACATAACACTTAGTATATTCTAGCATAAAATTAAAAAAATAACTTTCGACTCAAAGTAATTTAATTCAATTTATATTGTATAAATTTTAAAATTAGCTAGAGCTTTCCATTTAAAACAAATTGAACTTCTTAGCTTATAGGATCTCAAATGAATTTGAAACTGTGACAGTATTATAATGATCGAAATGTGATCAGTTCGCTTACTTAAATACTTTGTACAATGCGGCGGCTTAAAAAAAATTATGGGAAAAACGTCATGAAAAATCCCATGCTTCTTTTTGGCTCATTAGCTGGAACAGCTGTGTAAGCCGTGTGCATAAATTGGGTTCAAGTGCAGATGGCAGCCGTCATCACCAAATTATTGTATTAGTACATGGGAAATATTTAATGAGACAGCGGAAAAAACATATATTGGTAACACTCAAATGTTGGTTTTATCGTGTTTGGGTGTGTGAGCCTATTGCAGCTGATCCTATGCATCGAAGCTCATTTCGACAACCATGTTTGAGTCTGAATTTGAAAACTCTTCCTCCTCATCGAATTTCAAATTCATTTTAACCCCACTCAACTTATCAGTATTCAGCACGCGTCGGCTGCTCGCCGATATAGATTCAGTTACATCGCTTGGTGCTTTGCTACAGATCTCATCGATGGTGCCGGGATCATCCATCAAGTCCTCGATGCAATCCTTTAAAATTGTAGAGGTAACAATGCAATCCCGATTTAATGCTAAACTCTTGTGGAAGTACTCTATGGCTTCGTCCAGGTTTCCAAGTAGAGCGTGTATAAAGCCAATGGCAGTGTATGTATTGCCGCTTTGGGGTTTTAACAAAAGCGCCTGCAAACAGATTTACTCATTTCAGATTTACATAATTAAAATAGAATCAAGCATTGCTCTTACGAATTGAAAATTGTATAGCGCATCCTCGAACTTTTGTATTTTACGATAGGAGTGACCCAGGTTTATAAAGAGCGGCTCCCAGCGCGCCGAAACCTCTTCATTGTTGGCCTTGGCGCGTTGCCTAACAATATCCACTGTGCATTGAAATATTGTGGCAGCCCCATCGAAGTACTCGTACTCGTATTTAATTACACCCAGCTCGTGCAGCACATAAACATCCATGGGAGCAATTGTCATGGCTTGCAAAAAGAATTTCTCAGCCAATTCCAGGTTTTTGGTAAGTCCACACTCGACACCAATGTATAGTAGAGGCAAATGACAGCCGCGCATTAGTTGTGTGGCCTTGAAGTAGGCAGCCATTGCCTGCTCATGTTCATTCTCATTGGCAAAGGAGTGTCCGTAGGCCAGCCAGGCGGGGCCGTAGAGGCGATCCAGGGATGTGGCCTTTGACAAGTAACGACGTGCTGGATCACTCTTGCCAATCATGTCATAGTAGCAACCGACTGCATACCATGAAATGGCCTTGTCCGGATACCGATCGACCAACTTGTGGGCAACATAGAAAAGCTTATTGAAGTCTCCATTTTCCACTAGACAGGCAATTTGTATGGTTAGGGCGTTATTGTGAAACGGATCAACCTTCAACAAGCTATATGAAAAATATTACTGCATTATAAATATGAAATTAGCTTATGTAACAATTACCTATTTAATATTTTCAGGCACTGTTTGTAGTCACAGTCATAGAAACATTTTTCCGCCTCAGCGGCAAGAAGATCTGTGCTGCGCTGCACTCGACTCAAGCAATCGTTGAGCGGCACTAAACTGTCGCTGTCATTTTCCCGCGAGCCTCGGCGATGGGATGCATCAAAGAGCGAACGGTGGGTGGCATCTATCATAGATGACGCACGTGAAAGACTTGTTTGTAGAGAAAACGTTGGCGCTTTCAGATCATCCAGCACTCTGTAAAATATACACAATTGATAAGAGCGAGCCATAAAACGTTGCTTAATTAATACTCACTTCTGTGCGGGTGACATAAACTGACTTGAGGTCATTGGCACCTTGGACGCAGGGGGCTTGGGAACCTGTGAATCCGTTGAACAGGTTTGCTGCACTCGTGCCGTAAACTCCTTGATATACTTGAGCACGTCCGGATTTACAATGGGCGAAATTTCTTCCGCATTGCGCGCTGATATGAGCTCATAGTACTTTTTCAATCGGGACTCGTACAGTTTAAGGATAAACTTGGCATCCGCTTCGGTTGATTGTTGTGCCAGCGGCAAATGATGCATCAGCTCAAATTCTATAATAAAATCAAGTTGGTGTTTATGGGAGCATAATGAGTTGCCTTGATTAATTACCCTCCCAAGCCATTAGCATTTCGTGCTGCACCAACGCTTCCAGAGCCTCAAAGCAATAAATAGATTTGTGCAGAGCCTGTACATAGAAATCCATGGCCATGCCGCGATTATCCAATGCTTCAAACACTTTTCCCTTGATCAGGAATATAGAAGCCAGCAATTCGTTTCGATTGTTCTCTTCGCCGCCAAAGACACTGTTGCTTTCCAAATATATGCCGCTGGCTGTATCCATCGGCTGATTGATTAGAGATGTGGTCATGGTCTCCACCTCAACTATTTGTATAACATTTGCTGCATCGTTGTATTGCTTGGCCGCATAGAGACTTTCGAGCAGCAGGTTCAAGCATGGCAACGAGGTCTTCTCTAGCTTGTAGTGCTGGATTGTATGAGCCGCGCGATGGAACTCGCCTAGCAGAAACATGCACTGTGCCTGGTAGTAAACATCCCGCGGCTCATGGCCGCTTAAAACGGATACCTTTTCTGCCCAAAACAAAGCAGATGAATATCGACGCTATGAAAAATACATCGACATTTTGTTTACGAATTGATTACAATATTTCACTTTCATTTACCATGTCTATAAACTGTCGAATTAGTTTTCTATACACTGATAAGTCAATGTGATCATTTGTGCCTTCCGTATTGCTGCTTTCACTATCCCCAGCCATTTTATTAAATAATTTGAAGAATTCGAAATATTTTGACCTATTTGTTAGTTTTTCTTTGCCGGCTAGCGTTGGACTGAAACGAGTTATCTGGCAACGCCATGTCAACAGCTGGTTTTGGCATTCACACAAAATGAGCAGTGCCACTGCGAGAAATTTTTGGCTCGGCTTTTCAAAATTACAAACCAATAAGAGAAATAGATTGTACTAATAAAATTATAAATAAATATTGGTTAAAAAAAAAAAATAGTTTAATACACGATTATAATCAGTCTATTATTTATTTAATCAAGAAAGAATTATAAATGTTCAACGGTCTTATCAAACCTCTTTGCAACTTGTATGTTGTCCTGCGCTTGATTTTGATGCTGGAGATGGGGATTAGGGCAGCAGCCAACCTACATAGAGATTTCGTTTGCGCTCTCTCAGCATGTGTCGTCGGCAGGATTCAGTGTATTTCAATTGCTCGTTAGGTGAGGTTATTGCATTTCTGGCTGGAGCGGCAACAAGAAAAAGTTGAGCCCAGAGGCAGTGCAAATAAAAACACTTCTTTTTTCGTTGCTGTTTAAAATAAAATAGAAAATATACAAAAAACGCCTTCATCTTGTAGCCTATTTTTACAAGTGTAAAGAAAGAGACTGCAAAGTACACCAACAGCAACAACTGTAGCATAGTAAAATTAACGAAAACGCGTGCAAAGCGCAACACAACTTGAAGTAACGGTTAAAAGCCGGATGGCACAGTGTGCGAAAAAAATGTGCTTTGCATGCATGCAGTAGAACGGCAAAACTGAATGCGCGTGTAAAATTGAAATTAAATTCAAAAATATTTATGTGAGTGACGCGTGCAACAAACTAAACATAAGCTGCTACTACTACAATTTCGGGTATGTAAATACTCACATAAACACATTCATTCATATGTACATACATACATATATACAGGAGCGCAGGCATACTTGCGAAATTGTAACGTTCTACGTGTGCACAAACACACGTACATGCATTTATATGTATGTATGTATGCATATTTAAAAAGGTAAATGGGCCCGGCACAGCAATAGTCGGCAAATTTAATAGTTGTTGTGTGCGAAGAGTGCACTCAGAGGAGTGCTGTAAGGGCAAATCTAAGTCGCCGGATTGTGCAGAGTCTCGGATGCAGTTATACTCTCATCGAGTGCAGCTTCAATGCCCTTTTATAGTGCGTGTTGATTTCGTGTTGTTATTGCTGTTGCTGTTGTTGTGGCGTCGGAATCGTCGGTCCTCGTCACTGTCTTTTTACAACTTTCCGTTGTTCCATGAGTGTTTTACGTCGCGCACGCCTTGCCATACTCACGTCATTTGCCCAGCAGCTTCAGCAACAACAAATACTACTCTCCTACTAGTCGACCACTTTTTACAACTACGAATACGCACAGAGAGGACCACGGGCAATAGCAACAAGAACAACGTCAATGACAACAGCAATAGCAACAGCAACAACATTAGTAGAACAAGAACAAAAACTACCCAAGCTCCGTTGGCGCTCCGCTCCATTCGTTGTTGCTGTTGCTGGTTGTTGGCTCTGCGGCGTTCTGCTCATTTCATGCTGATTTATGGTTCTAATAATAGCTTCGCTTCCTGTTTCTCAAAAGGATTACAGCCGCTGGCACACGCACACGGCCGAGACGCATGCACATACACATAGACAGCAACACGTCCTCAGCATAGCACAGGACTCTCCTCTTTTAAGTGCCGTGTCCATTTTGGCCCATCACCACATTTAGCTATACAAAAAAGGAGAAATAAAAAAATTAAAATAATTACTGTGAACGACAAAATTATGAACCAGTCGCTCGCACGAAAGCACTTGGAAAGAACTTGTCGTTGACTACGAAACGGGGGCATGGCGGAAAATGGTTAATTACAGTTATGTTTGCGGGGATACGCCTTGATCGATTTACAGCGTTTAACGCTTAAGTGAGCTCATTTAGAATGGTTGAATAGTGTGCGTGGCTGTGTGTGTGTATGTGCCAGTGTGTTTTTGTTGTTGGGTGTACGTGCTTGTTTGTGTAGCGACTTAGGACTTATACGCATCAAGGAAACCGTTAATTCCTATTACAAATATAAAGTAAATATTGAAATATTGGTGTAAGCCAAGCTTGAAATTTTCAAAATCAATTTTTAAAAATATTTAATAAAAAAGGAACAAATTGATAAATAATTTCGTTTTAGTTTGCTTCCTAAATTTCAAATAAAAAATATTTATAATAAGAATTTTAGAAACCCTTTTGTATTTTATATTAACGATTTATACATACAAAAAGCGAATGTAATTTTTTTAGCTTTAATAATTACATACCATTACATATTGAAAAATGTTAATTATAAGCTATAATTTCTATACTATGCTTTAGATAATTTACAACATTAATTTGTTTCTTTTCCATTTACTTCAGGAGGGTACAACCCGAGATTTTCATCATCGACAGGGAATAATGAATCGATGATTATTTGAGTCAGCTGAAACGGCCGCCGCATCTGCTTGCTGTCTGCGTAGTGAAGTGCCGAGTGGTGCCAAATCCTTATTACCAACAACAACAACAACAAATAACAACAATAGCAACAACTATAAAAACTAAGCATACCATTTTGGCCAGCAAACATGTTTGCCTGAGGCACGCCAGACATTTTTGGGCAGCCGCATCATCGAGTCGAACATTGCTCAAATAGAGGACACTCGCTGCGCAGCACAAACCATTGAGCGTATGCCCAGAGAGCGGCCATTGTGCGAGAGTAAAAGAGCGAGAGCGAACATCAGCGTACGGAGAGCAAGTGGTGAGGCACGCCGTTTGGAGCTTGGAGCTGTTTTGTTGCGTTGGCCGGCACAACACGAGGCCAAGGGGCGGAGAGGTGTGAGCATACGGAAGTGGCGACATCTGTTTTGCCGCTTTGTCAGCTTATCCGGCAGCCGATGGTGTAGCCGACGACAGGCGACCACAGCATCAACAACGACGACGACGACGCCGACGCCGACGCCGACGCCGAGAAGGAGCGCACACGACGACAGGACTAACGGCAACGTGAAATACAAGTGTGGAAATTGGAATTTTTATTCAAAACAATGCCCCTGCTGCAACAGGTATGTAAATAATAATAAAACCCATTCGCACGCCCAGCCCGAACGGGCATGGCGTGGCGTTAGCCGTAATTGAGCCTCTCACGTACAACTCCCAGATGAGCAAGAGAGCCAGAGCGCATCAGCTGGTTCCACGCCCTGCAAATGCTAACGGCAGCTGCTGCCGCCCTTTCTCCCGTTGTCGCTGGCATTGCTGCCTTTGGTTTGCACCTTGATATGATTGTGTGTCTCTACGGCAGCCGTATCGGCTCAACTTTTAGCCACTGACTGATTGTACCTATGACAGTAGAGCCTGGGATGATGATCCTAATCAGATTAGTGCTTAACTTTATGCGCCTCACGGCAATGCAGTGTCAACTGCTGCTGCTGCTGTTGCTGTTGCTGTTGCTGGTGCTGTTTCTGCGGCTCCTGCTTCTTCATGATTTTTCGCATCGCACTCTGCAGCCGGCTCTTGTTGTCTGTTGCACATTATGAGTAGTTTAATTCGATTAAACTTGCGGCGTTTGTTCGTGGTGTCTGCCTCCTAGACAGTGCAACGCCTTCATCTAAGCTGTCTGTCGGTCGTGTCTGCGTGTGGGTTTGCACGTGTGGAAGGCGTTTAATTGTACTCTGTGTTGCGCAAAATAGTTGCGTGATTTAATTTGCTGCGCTTTTATATATTTTTAATTCATTTAAATGAAAATATTAAATTAAGCAACAGGAAACTATGACAGCTAAAAGCTTAAACTTCTCTCTGCGGTTTCTACATGTATATAAAAAGGGAAAATCAGAGAACTAACTGTACATTCATGTCTGTATAACAAATTGAATTGTAAATTTATTACGATACTGCATTAGGAACTTTTTTTATGATAGTTGTCAGTTCGTCCTCTGACATTCTCCCCGTCTCAATAAAAAACATTTAAGAAGATTACGTCCTCGTGCGCATTGAATTGTCTTCGACATATTGCGCTGACAAATGTCTAGCTGCGGTGATTTTAAGCATTATTATTGAAATATCTTCATGAACAGTTTTTTGTTCTTTATAATAGAGCAGATTTTTCTCATTATTAGTGAAATGAATATATTATCGAATGCATTAAACCAATAGGTGTGAATCTATATATTGTCGGCTTATTCGAAATATAATTTAGCTAAAATTATTATAGAACACATTTAGTTTTAAAGCTAGGCAAAGAAACAAATGAGTTTCTGAATTGCATTTAGTTATGTGTCTGAGATACGTCATTAAGAATTTCATTTTTATTTTTACCCATAAAATTTGTATGGAATAAAACCTAAATATTGTTAAATATTAAGTTTAATATAGGAATATTTTTGTTAAGTTTTGATTATATATCTTGAATGTCTTCTTAAAGTTTCGAACTATTTCAAAAGACTGCAATTACGCTCCCAACTAAGGCATATCTCTATTCTAATATCTCTCTATCTCCCTCTCACCCTGTCCTTCTCTCTCTCTCTCTCTCTCTCTCTCTCTGTCCCTACCTCTCTCTCTCTATCTCTCTCTGTGCTGTCTTCTCGCCCTTGTCATGCTTGTTTATGCTGATATGCTTAAGTGATATGCTGTGTATTTATTTAGATTGATGAATTGGCTGTTGTTTGAGCCCCAAGTCATATAAATTCATATATCCGATTCCATCTTTTGTGAATATCTTCAAAAAGTGTCATTTGAGTTTATATTTTGTCAGTTCAGTCAATTCTGTGGCAAGCCCATCCGCCCAAATTGTCACTTGTCTCGAAGGCTTCCGCCCGGGGGCGTTGGTTGTGTTTCCTTCTTGGCAGCGCTTAGCAAAGTGACACACATGTAATCATTATAATATGGTAGAGCTGCAGCACGGCTTACGCACATGTTACTCGCTGCTGTCATGCTTAAGCGATACCAAAGTCCTGTCAATATGTTTGTGTGGGAGCATGTGGTTATATATATGTGTGTGTGTGTGATTGCACTGTAAGACGTCTCCGTGCG